ACGGCTTTGTTGTCATTGTCCAGCTCTGTGGGAAATTGCATACCTGAAACATTCTCTGGAGGGCCTTTTTGCATGTAGAAAACAAGCACATGAGGGGAAAGACCATGCTTCCATTTATCAGGTCCTAGTTACTTTCTTGGGCTCCATGACCACTGCAGATGGTGACAGCAGCCACAAAATTAAAAGACGCCTGCTTTTTGGGAGAAAAGCAATGACAAACCTAGATAGCATCTTAAAAAGCAGAGACATCACCTTGCCAACAAAGGTCCGTATAGTTAAAGCTATGGTTTTCCCAATAGTGATGTATGGAAGTGAGAGCTGGAGCATAAAGAAGACTGATTGCCAAATAATTGATTCTTTTGAATTATGGTGCTGGTGGAGACTCTTGAGAGTCCCATGGACTGCAAGAAGAACAAACCTAGCCATTCTTAAGGAAATCAGCCCTGAGTGCTCACTGGAAGGACAGATCCTGAAGCTGAGACTCCAATATTTTGGCCACCTCATGAGAAGAGAAGACTCCCTGGAAAAGACCCTGATGTTGGGAAAGATGGAGGGCACAAGGAGAAGGGGACGACAGAGGATGAGATGGTTGGACAGTGTTCTTGTAGCTACTAACATGAGTTTGACCAAACTGCGGGAGGCAGTGGAAGACAGGAGTGCCTGGCGTGCTCTGGTCCATGGGGTCATGAAGAGTCGGACACGACTAAACTACTAAACAACAACAACAAGTTTTCTAAACGCAGGGAGTTCTTCCGAAAGGGACAGCAGTCAGTGCCCCACTTAACAATCCCAGCAGGGCCATGCCACACGATGACTCTTGATGTGTGGTTGGGATCTCAGCGCTGATAGTGATTGAGTTATGCTGATCATATCCACAAAACAGTCGCCGCCGGCAAAGGAGGCCTGGGACCATCTGCCCTTCTCTTGGCAGTGATCATCATGGCGCCTGACATCAGCCAGATAATGTTAACTCCATTGCTGAAAGGGGATATGAACTATGATCAGAGATACAGCCCCATCAATAGACATCTATTTTCTGCTTTGCCATAAATGTCAGCATCCATAGACTCGCTCACTTATTCAGGGCTCTGCTGAAGGTTAAAAGGCCTAGGAACGATTTTATAAGCCAAGCTTGACACTTATTATTGCCTCTGACCACACACACTAATATAAACTTGGAACTTCATAATAAAAGAAGAAAATAGGTTGCCTTAAAGTCGATATTTTGCACCAGTGACACAAAATAAAATCTCTTGATGTTTGAAAGAAGCAGCTTTCAAAAAAAAAACAAAGGTTCCTAGAAAGGGAAACACTGATGGCATTGAGATTTTTCTTTTCGTGCTTTCCTTTTTGCTTCCCCCTCCACACACACACTCCAAACGCCACATTCACAACCCGCATTACACTTTTATGATGCACAAAGTGGAGAAACTTTCCAAAATGTCAAGTTTTGAGAAAGATTACTATGAATAATGTATCATGATACAGCTTTGTCAAACTGTTCCATGGTACATACATTTGTAATTTCTTAACACTGAATTTGCGGGGAAGTGACACTAATGTGGTCATGTTGTTCACACTTGTTTACAAATGGAGGCAGTCGGGCTCGGAGATTCACATGCAAGAGTCCAGACACTGACGTGACTTGCCTGAGAGCGTTGGCAGGAGGGGGAGGGAAAAGTAGTGTGTCGTGTTAAAAATTCATAAAGAACACTGCTTTTTATTTCAAGAGTAAAAGGAGCAAAAGGTTCTGTGCAGTGCCCAGGGAAACAGAAAGTTCAAATATTGTGAAGTTGCAGGAGCAGATCAGAGCATGGGATTCACAGCTAAAGCCTACAAGGCATTTGGGCGGAGAGAGAGAGAGAGAGAGAGAGAGAGAGAGAGAGAGAGAATGGGGTGAGACAACTAAGGAAGAACCCAACAAGAGCCAATTTGCTGAGCTTTCTTCGGTTTGCAAAATGAGTAATGTATGGGGGGGGGCGCGTTATCTAAAAGAGCTATCACAGGAGATAGCTGAAATCTGAAAGTTAGAAAATAAACAACTGGGACCTGCAGCGCATTGTGGAACCAGCCAGCCATGCCCTTTCCTACGAAACTCCTTTCCATTCCCCATTCCCCCTTTTCTGTTTACCACCCAAAAGATTATACCCCGCCCCCGCCCGGGATCCACCCCTTCTCATTTCCTATATTTCTGCAAACTTTGGGGTTTGCCCCAGCTAAGGATGGGGGAGATATCTGTTCAGTTTGCAATGCAAGCATACCTAATTCACATTTCCCAAACTAGAATGCAAACTGAAATGCAACTTTCTGTCAGGGAACTGCCATCAGTGCGGGAGGGAGAGAGCAAAATCCAGAGGAATTCCGGAGAGCGTCCCGGGATTGGGAGAGGCAGCCCATCTTCTGGGGAAGAGAATCAGCGTAGCACCAGTGGAGAAGGGGGGCAGATGGGGGAAGCGGCGAGGCGGTCCCATGACTCCTTGCCTTGGACCAGCGGGGAGAGTAGAGGTCCTCCGCTGCCTACGCCCTCCTTGCGCAGAAGGCTTTCGCGCAGAGAGAGTAGGAGGAGACTAGGCGTCAAAGAGCTTCTTTGCTGGAAGAAGTTTAAGAAACGCCCACTGACGGATTCTGCCAGCGATTGAGACAGCCACGGGTGAGTGGCTGTCTGGACAGAAAAGGTTCACTCAGGCAACCCAGCCAGGTGTTTGCACCAGCTTACGCACGAGCAACACCTAGAACCACTACACTATCCTTTGAAATTTGCACTTCTCTGAATTTTTGCAACACAGTTCTCAAAACATAAGAAATGCATACAGAGATGCATACATTAGGCAGATTAGTGAAGATAACATTATTAACGAGATATATATATATATGTATATGTGTGTGTGTGTGTGTGTGTGTGTGTGTGTATGAATTGCTTGCAGAAAGCACATGTAAAGCAACACTGTGTGCAAAATGTGTGTGTGTGTGTGTGTGTGTGTGTGTGTGTGTAATATACTTAATAAGGGGTGCACCAAATGCAGCTGCTCAAGATTCACTGGGCCAGAATATCACTATAATTTTATGTCACTGTTGAAAGAATTGCACCGGCTGTCAAACAGCTACCAGGCTAAGTTCCAGATGCTGGCACTGGCATACAAAGCCCTATAGAGCTTGTCTTCAGGATACCAGAAATAGAATCTTACTTTTTATACGCCCAACAAATCACTGTGCTTCACAGGATAAGGCATCCTGCATATTCCATCCCCTCAGGAGGCCCCATTCCATACAATGCCTTTAGTGTGGTGGCACCTTTGGAAACACCTTCCTGTTAACAAGCCAAACAAGTGCCTTTTTTCTGTGTTTGCCAAAAGAACCCAACGCCCTTTCTTTTTCAACAAGCCTTTTAATTGGATATTTTTATCCTAATTATGTATTGGTCTTTAAATTATTATTATTTTTTTTTGTGTTAATGTTTTGACCCCTAATGTTTTTATTGATAAATTCCTTTTTGGCAATTTATGGGAAACAATTCCTAAATGAAATAAATAAGATAACATGCCGGAAACTTGATGCAGACTTCTAAGGCAAAGGAATTGCACACTCAGTTGGGAGGCAACATGAGAGAAGGCAATGGGCAGGGGTGCCAACAGGATTTTCTGAGCCAATGACAGTGTATATGGAGGGACCCGCTTCACACACACACCTTCACAAAAAGAGAGCACAAATTCGCATGAAATCTGTATGCACTTTGTGGCATATTCAAATCTGTGGGATGGAGGACTGAGAAAATTAAAACCCGGGTGCTGCCTGCAACTAAATAGATGTCTTACAGACAGAATGTCAACAGGTGAAGCTGATTGTTCTATTTCCATACTAGAAAAGGCTTAACCTGCTACATTTCTGCCTGTTTTGTTGTTGTTTAGTCATTCAGACGTGTCCAACTCCTCGTGACCCCATGGACCAGAGCACACCAGGCCCTCCTGTCTTCCACTGCCTCCCGCAGTTTGATCAAACTCATGCTGGTAGCTTCGAGAACACTGTCCAACCATCTCGTCCTCTGTCGTCCCCTTCTCCTTGTGCCCTCAATCTTTCCCAACGTCAGGGTCTTTTCCAGGAAGTCTTCTCTTCTCAAGAGGTGGCCAAAGTATTGGAGCCTCAGCTTCATGATCTGTCCTTCCAGTGAGCACTCAGGGCTGATTTAAAATTTACACTTCACAGCAGCCAAGGTTCAGGTGCCCATGCTTGGATAAATTTGGATTAAATTGTTTAAAAGCAAGCAATCTGTTCCAAGAGCATTTGTTGTGGTTATTAATTTATACCTCATAAAAACTACAAGAATGTTACCATTATGGGTCAAACTACCACCCTTTAACAGGAATATTACAATTAAAGTGTTACACCACCAGCAGCAATGCACCCACAAGAGATGCCCTATTTTCTTCCACGAGTGGGAAAGCAATAAATCTTCCCCTCCCCTTCCCAAATAGTTGCTACAAATGCCCCCCCCCCCCAATGCATTTCCACAACAATAAATAAAGCAAGCAGACCAAGAGACTGGATGACAACACTGAACTACACAGCAGGGTAGCCATACTCAGTCCTTCTCTTACCCTGCAATATGAGTATAATATCCTTGTAGGGTTGACATAACCGATGTTGTCTCAAGCCTTCCCTGTTCTCCACCCCACCCCACTATAAAGGTCTGTAGTTTTATCTGCAAACTCATTTTTAACTGTGTGCATACTCAAATAAAATAACATGAGTTGCAATATGAACTAGTTAGTATCTCAGCTGTTTACCTTTCTCTTTGTTGTGGGCAGACTGTTGCCTAATCAACAGCTACACTAATGTCCTAGATTTCTGCATTATTTTCTCTGGATAACAAACACTTATCTAACTGGGGGAGGGGGGGAGGTTCAACGTGAAGAAGGTGGTTCTTTCAAAATGGACCAGGCTGTCCTTATGCACTAGAAAAACCCACTCTAGATTCTAGATTCTAAATTCTAAAATGCTAGAGTTCATTCTGAAGCTGTTTTGGTGTCTTTCCTGCCATCTAGTGACACAGATGGCAGGGAAGACTCCAAAACAGCTTCAGAATGACCCAGGAATTCCCTTCTCCATTGTCTGGAGAAGGAACCTCCTCATGGGTCATTTTATAGCTACTTTTTTGGGGGGGAGGTCTTCCCTTTGGGCTTCTACAACTCTAAATTTCTCTAAAACACTCATCAATCGCAGCTGTGGCTTCACTCATTGGCTAAAAAACATGGAAAGATGGAAACAGGCTCATTTGTCACAAAGCAAATACTTTGAAAGGTGCCTGCACATTTAGCTTCACAACTGTCTTTCCAAAGGGGCTAGAGAGATTTAAAAATAAAATAAAATAGAACACTCAAACTCTGGGTTCCCAGCTTGCTTTGAAAGATTTATACAATCTGAAGAGAAACCAGAGAATGCTGTGGGCCCAGTATAATAGCACACCATTCATCTCCTTTCTTAGTGGCCATGCCAGATTCTGTAATAGCCTATGAAAAACCTTCTCCCTCAGAGATTGTGTCCATTTTAAAATACAGTGGATGCTCATGCATGACCAACGAAACCCAGAAGTAACCCGTTCGGTACTTCCGGGTTTTGGTGTGTCCGTAACCCAAAAAAACGCAACCTGAAGCATCTGTAACCCAAGGTATGACTGTAAAATTATTTTAATTTGGCGTAATTATTTAACAAGGCTGCTTGGGTTATTAGCCAGTAATCCTCATACACAGTCTCCATTTTTATTTAAATAGGTAAAGGGACCGCTGACCATTAGGTCCAGTCGTGACCAACTCTGGGGTTGCAGCGCTCATCTCGCTTTATTGGCTGAGGGAGCCGGCGTACAGCTTCCGGGTCATGTGGCCAGCATGACAAAGCTGCTTCTGGTGAACCACAGCAGCGCACAGAAACGCCGTTTACCTTCCCGCCGGAGTGGTACCTATTTATCTACTTGCATTTTGACGTGCTTTCAAACTGCTAGGTTGGCAGGAGCAGGGACCGAGCAAGGGGAGCTCACCCCGTCACGGGGATTCGAACCGCCAACCTTCTGAACAGCAAGTCCTAGGCTCAGTGGTTTAACCCACAGCACCACTCGTGTCGCTTTTATTTAAATAAATTAATACAATTACCTTCTACACAATTTTCAGATGTTATCAGCTTACTGGGGGGTACCCATGCACCACAGAAAGCTAGCTATATCTCACTTTTCTGTGCCAAACGATGTTTGGTTTGTTTGCAACTCTCATGCGGCTATGTTTTGTGAAATTAAAAACGGAGGCTGGCTTCCACCATAGAGTGTCGCATTTGGTGGGCTTTTGGTGAGTTTTGTCGGGGCTTGCCGATGAATCGTGACCAAGCACTTTGGGTAAGCTATTCCAAGTGCTTCAGCTAATAGGTTTTTAAATATACCAACGCCTACATCACTCCCTGCCCCCCACTTTATGTTACCTTTATCTGGTCTGTTACACGTGGTTTTTCAATGGCACCTTCATTCTAAAGCTCTCTCCATGAATAATTTGACACCTCTGCACTGGGTACCCATCACATCACTTTCATATCACCTGGAATAAAAACCTGACTTGACTCAAGTAAAAAAAAAAAAAAAGGTGGGGGAGAGAAATCATGTTTTATTGTTTGGAGTCAGTCTTTCCTGGCATGTAATGCTTTCAACAGCCCTTCCATAAACTCTTTGTTTCCACTCCGTATGCATAAAAGCCTCTGTCTGTACCTTCCTAAAGACTACCTAGACTGTTTTCTTTGGCCGCCTCTTGTTTTCATTGAGTTATCCAATTATGCCTAGAGCTTTTTCCCAGAGTTGTTACACTTAATTTAGAACCCACCAATGCATGAGATTAGTTCAAATGATTCTTTCAAATGGGCATTACCTTGCTTTTGTCAACAATGAATATGATCTGGCAGGGAGCAGGCCGTTCACCTGGCTCCATCAGGCCCCTGTGGAACTAACTAACTCTCTCTCTCTCTCTCTCTCTCTCTCTCTCTCTCCTGTGTCCTCACAGAAACTGGCACCCTTCTCCGGAAGATTAATAAAAATAACACCATTTCTTAAATGTATCCTTGGTAGTCCTATTATTTAGTTTCTTTTCACACTGAGAGATGGCCGCCACCCTCAGCCAGTTTCCTTTTTGCTCTCAGCCTGTTGCAAAGGACTGTTTGCAATTTTCCATTAAAAGCAAACTGCAGCGTAACCTTCCTTCCCTGCACAAATATATCATTTACCTTCATGGCCTCCCTGCCACCATTTTACTATCTTTCACCTTCACAGTTCTCCCATCTGCAAACAGCACACCTTTCCTTTTCATTGGCAGTGGGCAGAGTCCAACTCTTTTAGCTCAAGCCACGCAGAAGCGGCTACCCTTGGAACATTCTTGTAGCCATGCGATCCACCTTCCATCACAGCCTCACACCAGCTCCACTGCAACACACTCAACATTCCTGCTAAATCTGAGCAGGCTTCCCTCCAGCTTGTAGCCTGAGCCACATCAACTCCTCCTGGGTGCAGCCAACAGTAAGTTGTGATACGAAGCTCTGGCAAACTACGTTTCCTGAGGATCTTTGTACAGTGGTACCTCGGGTTACAGACGCTTCAGGTTACATACACTTCAGGTTACAGACTCCGCTAACCCAGAAATAGTACCTCGGGTTAAGAACTTTGCTTCAGGATGAGAACAGAAATCGAGCAGTGGCGGCATGGCAGCAGCAGGAGGCTCCATTAGCTAAAGTGGTGCTTCAGGTTAAGAACAGTTTCAGGTTAAGAACGGAGCTCCGGAACGAATTAAGTACATAACCAAAGGTACTGGGAAACACTTGCTGGAAGAGCTTGCCATATTGCTTCTGACATCGTTAGGAGCACCAGGATTTGGGGAAATTTTAGGTGCATTAAGTTGCAGTCGTGTTCCACTGGTTTCAGTGGAACCTCTTTGCTAGGAAGCATCTTAATATTTCAGCCTTTCAGTCTAGCTCAACTTGTCCAAAATAAAACACCCACTTGCTAGGCATTGGGAAAATTCAACAATTCCATATTGGTGTATCATTATATAAAATGTGTGAAATCACATGGGGGGACGCCTGAGATGGTATATTAAAAGATATGGAAATTATTGGGGGATTATTGGGCTGTTCTTGTTTTATTTTTATGTTTATTATGTAATTTGTGTCTTTGTATTATGATTTTATGTTGAGAACCACCCTGAGACCTGAGGGTATGGGGCAGTATAAAAATGTAATAAATAATAATATAAAATAAAAGTTATATAAAACTATTTTTCCTAAATAGTATGTATGTATATACATATCCCACCTTTTCCCCTGGTGGGACTTGATAAAAACAAGAACTGCATTAAAATATAGTTAAACATTGATAGAATTCAAACTATATACATATAACAAATCTGTTTAGAACGTATCAATAATTACAATTAAAACAGCATGGCACCAGCCCTTTCATTAAAAGCAATCAGCTCCCCAAATCCTTTACGGGTCTGGGAGCCTTAGGTTAAAAATGGTATATAAATAAGCCATTCTCCATGTGGGTAGCTTAGTCAGTAGAGCAGGGGTAGCCAACCTTTTTGTACCTACTGCCCACCATCTTTCTTGATGGTAAAATTTCCTTACCACCCACCAGTGCTCGATGGAAGGAGGATTCCACTTGTGCCGTAGAAACCCCTACCGCCCACCTAGAATCCTGAAACGCCCACTAATGGGCGGTAGGGACCAGGTGGACAACCCCTGCAGTAGAGCATGAGACTCCTAATCTGAAGGTTGTGGGTTCAAGCCTCACATTGGGCAAAATATTCCTGCACTGCAGGTAGTTGGACTAGATGATCCTCGTGGTTCCTTCCAACTCTACAATTCTATGATTCATATCAATGAAATGGAAAAGTCCAAACCTTCAGTCTACCATGAAGGCTCCTGGGTTGGACCATGCAGATAAAAGAAGCGATGCTACGAAAATAAAACTGGCTCAGTGCACAATGGCTTCCATTAACTTCAGCAGAACAAAGCAGTTGGCCTACAGGTGAATAGACTGTTGAGTAGAGCTGGCTGCTCATCTGACAATTTGGTGTCGGGAGAAAATTTGCTTTCCATTTGTGCTTCTTCCCTTTTCCTTGCCTACAACAGCCGCTGTTCACACATATGGGTGCTGCTCCCATAGTCAACAGGATGGAGAGCAGAAGTTGTCTCACCCTCCTTGACATGGGAATCCATCAAGAGGGACCCCTTCCCCTCCTGAATCTCTGCAACGTATAGCATGATACAGTGGTACCTCGGGTTACAGACGCTTCAGGTTACAGACTCCACTAACCCAGAAATAGTACCTCGGGTTAAGAACTTTGCTTCAAGATGAGAACATAAATCGTGCAGCGGTGGCACAGTGGCAGCAGGAGGCCCCATTAGCTAAAGTGGTGCTTCAGGTTAAGAACAGTTTCAGGTTAAGAACAGACCTCCAGAACAAATTAAGTTCTTAACCCGAGGTACCGCTGTACTCATCATAAGGACAAATAGTTTGTTAATATAAGAAGCTTGGCAGTTTATGAAACATCCAGATTCAACGCAGACCTCACACACACACACACTGAAGTTGGGTGAAGTGACACTTTTGCTATTTCATTCTGCCAGTTCCCTCACTTTTGAAGGGGGCTCCTCTTTTAAAAGTTAAAATTTCCTGTGATCTTCAAAGCTGCCTGAAACTCTACCCATAAGGTGTCCCTCTGCTAAAGGAAGTCAGCTCGACTTATCAAATCTATTTTTGAGTCCTGCTCTGTGTTAAGTGCCCGTTCCTTAAGATTCGCCGGGTCTGCAAGCTTTTACTATCAGCGTATTTATTTCACCTTCTAAATGAAATCCAATTTGAAGCTATTAATATTAATGCACTGAGATAATTCTGATGATGAATTAATAAAACACTTGGCCTCTCAATATGCTGTTTGCTCTTACCGTTTAATGATGCTCTTAACTGGGAGGAGGAGGTGGAGGCAGAGATAGAGTCGGCTCCACTAGGAGCCTGAAAATTAGAAGCCTCTTCATTGTTTTAGCTTGCTACTTTAATGGCA